CAAGTAAATGTAGTCATATGAATTACTTTTCACTTGGTATAAAGGTATGAAGTATAGTATAAATAGTAGTATAAATACACTCAAATAAAATACATTCACTTCAAAACTGTACATAGCTACAGTCCAACGGGGGATTTAAAAGAAATGTGTAAGTGAAACATGAATAAGACCAAAATGGTACGTTAAATGATTTGTGATGCCTTTTCACTCACTGGAGCAAAACTACTTTAGCCACGCTTGCAGCGACTCTAGGTAATGACGGTTGGTCGGTCCACCACTTTGGTCTGGATAATATCTTAACAACTATTGGATGGATCGCCATAAAATGTAATGCAGGCATCCATGGTGTCAAGAGGATGAATCCTACTGACTATGGTCACTTTTTTAGCTACACCAAAAGGTTTACATTTGTGGTTTTGACTGTCTCTCTAACTGTTGAAGAGTTGCCAATTCGTCCAATATGTTAGATATTTTAGGGACCAAATATTTGCATAACTAATGACAATCCCTTCAGCCTCAACCAAAAGGAATGGGAATGTGTCGTTATCAACGGCAAATGGGCCATTTTTGGAGGATGAGGGTAAGAGTGCCATTCGCTAGCTGTTTACCGTAAGTGTCAAAAAGAACTGCTGAACTAACACAAAACACAACACAATAAAATGTAGTATATACTGTAGTATACAGTGGAACACAAAGGTAGGCTAACGATATGTGTTTGATTTTTGCTAGATATCGGTAGATTAATAATGCATCATTAGCCAACAGTTTTTTAGCATTAAATTAACATAACATTAGCTTGTTTACCTTTGTCTGAATGACTGTGTAGTAAATGGGATATGGGCCTGCATTTAAAAATGTTAGTGTAGGGACTTACGTCAAACACTAGATATATGGCAACATCAGTGACCATAATGGTTGGCCATGGTCCTCGACCATTCTATGTCTCCTAATCCTTAAGGATCGATATCATTATCTAACTTCCATCCATCCATCCATTTTCCTCCGCTTATCCGGGGTCGGGTCGCGGTGGCAACAGGCCAAGCAGGCTGACCCAGACTTCCCTCTCACCAGCAACATGTTCCAGCTCATTCTGGGGGATCCCGAGGCGTTCCCAGGCCAGCTGGGAGATGTAATCCCTCCAGCGTGTTCTGGGTCTTCCCTGGGGTCTCTTCCCAGTTGGACGTGCCTGGAAAACTTCCAGTGGGAGGCGTCCAGGAGGCATCCTAATTAGATGCCCGAACCACCTCAGCTGACTCCTTTCGACACGAAGGAGTAGCGGCTCGACTCCAAGTTCCCTCCTGATGACCGAGCTCCTTACCCTATCTCTAAGGCTGAGCCCGGCCACCCTACGGAGGAAGCTCATTTCGGCCGCTTGTAGCCGCGACCTTGTCCTTTCGGTCACGACCCAGAGTTCGTGACCATAGGTGAGGGTAGGAACGTAGACCAAGTGGTAAATTGAGAGCTTTGCCTTCCGGCTCAGCTCCCTCTTCACCAAGACGGTCCGGTGCAGCGCCTGCTTTACTGCTGCAACCGCACCGATCCGTCTGTCGATCTCCCGCTCCATCTTACCCTCACTCGTGAACAAGACCCCGAGATACTTGAACTCCTTCGCTTGAGGTAGGCACTCCGTCCCCACCTGGAGGGAGCAATCCACCGGCTTCCGGCAGAGCACCATGGCCTCAGATTTGGAGGTGCTAACTCTCATCCCCGCCACTTCACACTCGGCTGCAAACCGCCCCAGTGAATGCTGGAGGTCACGATCCGAGGAGGCTAACAGGATCACATCATCTGCAAACAGCAGAGAGGCGATCCCGAGACCCCCGAATCTGACGTTCTCCACCCCCAGGCTGCTCCTAGATATCCTGTCCATGAAAGTCACGAACAGGACCGGAGACAAAGGGCAGCCCTGGCGGAGGCCAACACCCACCGGGAACGTGTCTGACTTATTGCCGAGAATGCAGACACAGCTCCTACTGCAGTCGTACAGAGACCGGATCGCCCGTTGTAATGGGTCCGGCACCCCATACTCCCGCAGCACCCCCCACAAGAACCCCCGAGGGACCCAGTCGAAAGCCTTCTCCAAGTCCACAAAGCACATGTAGACTGGTTGGGCAAACTCCCAGAACCCCTCCAGTAGTCTTGCGAGGTTAAAGAGCTGGTCCACTGTTCCACGGCCGGGACAGAATCCGCATTGCTCCTCTTGAATCTGAGGTTCAACAAACGGTCAGAGCCTCCTTTCCAGCACCCTGGCATAAGCCTTCCCCGGGAGGCTGAGTAGTGTGATACCCCGGTAATTTGAGCACACTCTCCGGGCCCCCTTTTTGAAAATGGGAACCACCACCCCGGTCTGCCAGTCCATGGGCACTGATCCCGACCCCCATGCGACATTGAAGAGGCGTGTCAGCCAGGACAGCCCAACTATGTCCAGCGCTTTCAGCATCTCAGGGCGGATCTCATCCACCCCCGGCACCTTGCCACCAAGGAGCTTTTTGACTACCTCAGCGGCCTCTGCCAGGGATATGGGTGAGCCTCCCCCTAGATCTTCAGGCGCTGCCTCCTCTGCAGAGGACATGTTGGTCGGGTTTAGGAGTTCCTCAAAGTGCTCTTTCCACCGCCCCACGATGTCCCCTGTCAGGGTCAGCAGTCCCCCCCCCCCTGCTGAGAACAGCCTGGGGTAAGCCCTGCTTTCCCTTCCTGAGCTGTCAGATGGTTTGCCAGAACCTCCTTGAGGCCAACCGAAAGTCCTTCTCCATGGCCTCCCCGAACTCCTCCCATGCCCGAGTTTTAGCATTCGCGACCACCGCAGCTGCAGCCCTTCTGGCCTGCCGGTTGATCAGTTGACAGCTCTGCTCCTCTCTTTACCCGAGTGTCCAAGACATACGGCCGCAAATCAAATGATATGATTACAAAGTCGATCATTGATCTCCGGCCTAAGGTGTTCTGGTACCAGGTACACTTATAAGCCACCTTATGTTCGAACATGGTGTTCGTTATGGCCAAACCGTGGCAAGCACAGAAGTCCAATAACGAGACGCCATTCGGGTTCAGATCGGGCAAGCCGTTCCTCCCAATCACCCCCCACCAGGTTTCTCCGTCATTGCCCACGTGAGCGTTGAAGTCCCCCAGGAGAACTATGGAGTCGGTAGGCGGCGCCCTTTCCAGGACCCCTCCCACCGACTCCAAGAAGGCCGGATACTCTGAACTGCTGTTTGGTGCATAAGCACAAACCACAGTCAGAGCCTTGCTCCCCGCAACCCGTAGGCGCATGGAGGCGACCCTCTCGTTCTCCGGGGAGAACTCCAACACAGCGGCGCTCAGCTGGGGGCTCGTGAGTATCCCCACTCCCGCCCGGTTGACAAATGACCGATGACTGGACAGGTGACAGAGAGTGACAGCTACCGTAGCCATAACCTCTTTCCAAAAATGGCCCAGAATGATCCACGATTCCCATTCCCTATAGTTTGAGTTGAGAGCTAATTAGCTAATGTTAGCATGATTAAATGCTAAACTAAGATGGTGAACATGGTAAACATTATCGCCTGCCCGCTAAAATGTGTTTGCATGCTGACATTAGGATTTAGCTCAAAGCACCACATGCTTATGTACTACAGCCTTACAGAGCAGATAGCATGGCTGAATCATTAGACTTGCATATTCCCATGCCAGAGTCTACGTTGCTGAATTAAGGGATTTCTTTATTTACTTTAAAGTAAAGAGAAAGAGAGCAAATGAGAGTGTCAGGATCCCTGTCTGACCCGTTGTGTGTTAACTTGTTTCCCCCCAATCTCCTCTCCTCATGTGTCTGTCATTCCCCTGTTTGTTTTGTTATGCCAAGTGCTTGGTGTTGTTTTCTCGGGCCTGCCTCCAGACACCTCCCATTGCCACAGCCCTGATTGATGCACAGCTGCGGACAATCTGGCTCGTTACCCGGCAGTATATCAACCCTGATCTTGCAGGCCTGGGTTGTCAGTCCGTGTTGTCTTCTGCCTCGGTAGCCTCCGCCACCGTTCCGTAAATTGAACCCCATTGTCTATTCCCGGACTAATCTCTCTCCTCTCTGCTACGGGTGTAGTGTACTGGTCGATCTGCCAACCTTCCGGTGTCGAGCCACGGGACATCACACCGTCGAGCTGCCTGCCATCCGGTGTCGAGCCACAGGACTCACACCGTCGATCTGCCTGCCCTCCGGTGTCGGACCACGGGCTCCACGCCTTCCTGTCCTCTACTCTGGCAAATAAAATCTGTTATACCGGACTCTGTCTTGCTATTGGGTCCTAATCGTGAACTCCCGTGACAGAGAGAGAGCGATGGGAACTTAAGTGTCCCCTGCCAAAACTTATGTTACCATGGAACCATGTTCTCTAACAAACAAACAGAACTTATGTCCATTAACATGTTATTTCTGTGTGAAATATCAAATCAAAAACTATTTTTGCTTAGAAATAGTGTAATATACATACTGTCAGTACTGCCAACATAGAAGTCCAATAGTCAGGACATCATGTTAGAAAAAAAAAGGTAATCAACGAACTGAATGTGAAACATTCTGACATAGCGTACGTTTTAGTTTGACAGGAATCTCTAGTTGTGTAGCTGCAAATCTAAAATGAATAATCTGTTTACGTGAAGTCAAACTGAAACATCACAAACATAATGGGATTTTCTTTTTTATTGCATTTGTTGCATAATGACACAAACTTGGACAATTTCTATGCTCAATACTTAAGAAAACAGAAGTAACACAATTGTTAGTTTGTTTTTTGGTAAAAAGCACAGCAGGCCTCATCTCACAGGATGTACAAACACAAATTAGATATCACATGCATCCCACAGAAGTGTCATTTGCATAGTATTGTGTTGCTATTAATATTCCACAGGAATCAACAAGAGGAAGTCCATAAAGAACTACATACACATGTTTGCATAGTGCACACATACTCTAACAGATAACTTGCATATTAAGTGATAAATTAATTATTTGCCAAGACTATTAGACATTGTTTCATGAGAAAAAAACAGCATTTAATTACGGTGTTAACTACCACACTGAAATATATCATGTACTACAACAACGTATGGAGCTCTGTGAAATTATACCAACAGCTGACAGTTAATGCTCAATGATACACATGACATCTCTTCCAACCACTGTCCTGCAATGTTCAGCCCATTTCAGCATCAAGGTTGAGCTAATTCCAGTCTCGACAACTCATCTTGAGCCTTGCAAACAATTGCAGTTTATCAATGTTGGCTGCAGCTGTCCACCTGTCTGAACTATTGATCAGTCCTCCAACAGTAAAGCCATACTTTTAAGAAATGCAAAAAAGTAAATAATCAGCTAGCTTTGACTAGAGTTCAGCCACCTAAATAGTGAGCTGTGGTCCGATGCTAGCCATATTCTGAGGTGGGGGGCCCTGTCACTAGTTTACAGTAACCTGACAATGCCCCCAGGTCAATGTACAAGGAACCCTTCCTCCTCATATGGCCGGAGTCCTCAGAGTACAGAGAAGAATCTGCAGAAAAAAAGACGTACATGTTCAAATGGTGCCAGTTTCTTAACATTAATTACTGGAATCAAATTAACTTCAGCACGTAGGCGCTTACCCTGTGTGGTGTCGTGGTGCTGGCTCTGCTGCCGTAGCATGGTGTGGGTGGCCTCCTCCAGGGCTGAATCAAGGCTCCAACAGCGCGGCTGATCCTCCCTGGGTGGGTTGATGGCCTCGTCCTTTAGCAGCTCGGACGCCGAGCTCCGCAGGGAAGGGTTCCTCTCCAGGGCTCGCTCCAGGAAGGAGCGCATGGCCAGGCTGCAGTCTTCCGCTATGTCCTCCAGAGGTGGGGCCAGTTTGTCGATCTGTAAAATGAGAGATAAGGCAAAATTGGCGTTAGGAAACTGCAGCATCAGAGAAAAAAAAAAGTTACAAATAACCAAAAAACAACAACAAGTAAGCCACATATAACTCCTCCAGCAGCTGTGAATTGTCATTGTGAGCAGTATCTTGTAAAACAGGCTTGGTTGTGGTAAAAAGGAACAAGGCCTGCAGAAGCGACTTTACCACATAACATAACTTTTCCATGACAGCAGTTTCACGAGGAAGTGAGTAAATCAAAAGAGCTGATTAGCATCTCAAAAACAAAAACAGGACTTCTTGAAAGTAAAGAACCCATGTAATGGAAAACCTTTAAAAGAAACAGAAGTAGTAACTGACTAAATGGGCCATAGGTCACACTCTGCAATCAGTCGCGTTAACCCTATTTTATCTCATGTACAAGGTCATGGACAAGTGTGTCACCTTTTCAAATGCTGCTAGATACGAGATACTGTCTATCTCTTGGCATGTATGTGTGATATAATAGCTATGCTACCTGCTCTGAGCAGGTGTGATTCAAAAAAAAAAAAAACAGACGGTCAGATAAAAGCTGAGGTGCAAAACTTGCTTTGAATATTTAGCGGTCGTGGTGAAGCAAAAGTAATAATTGGCCAGAGGGTGGGGTCGTAAAATAGGTTGTCAAAAAATGGCAAGTGCTTTGCTGTATAAAGAAATAGTTCAGTGCTCCTACTCTAGGATAAGTCTTCAAAGAAATACCTCAAATTACAGTCCTTGGTTTTAATAGTGCATGCACAATAAATGGCTGTATCAGCTTTCATGGCGATTTACCCAATAGTTGTTGACATTTCACTCTAAAACGTATTGGTGCAAATTGGTGGCGCTAGAGGATAAAGTCAGGAGGCTCCATCCTCTGGGAACCATGAATGTCAAGTTTTTTCAATCTTGACAAAAGTGAAGGACCAACCGACAAGCACACTGACACTAGCCTGGCTCTTAAAAAATGCACAGTACTTACGATGTAGAGGTAGGATGGGCAGTCAGATCGTGGGTATCTCTGGACCCATGGAGGGCTTCCAGTCTGCATGTGAATGATGGTGGTGCCCAGGCTGTAGATGTCTGTCTTGGTGTTATGACCGTGAGACAGAACCACCTCTGGACTCATATACATCTAAATGAAAGAAGGGTAACATACCATGAATGAGATATAACGGGGCTGCAGAAGACAGGAAAAGGTTCACCCACTTTTATTAGTTTCCCATTTAAATGAATGTACTGGTGCTGAACAACAAAGAGTAAACAACCTCTTGCAGTAAGTTTTTTTTTTCTTTCTGTTTCAACGAACAAGATAACCTTTAGACCCACGCTGTGTGTGTCAAGGTAAGGGCAGTGCAGAAGCGTGTTGGCCTTTGGAGTGTGAAAAGTAAACACACTACCAGAGTTCATCTCTTTCTCTGCTGGAAATTCCAGCCTGCTCTCCCATGTTACTGTGAGCAGCCCAGTGTATTTGCTAGCAGTGTCTCTCTTATTATTACTCCTGGGTGTCTGCCCTGGGACTTTCCACAAGCCACGCCATGAGTGCACCGATATAGACTGACACACAAATAGGTCAAAACATGGGAAAGCGAGGCAAATACACGATGGGAGAAAAAGCACGTGAGACGTCTCTTGGATTAATCCTAGAATTTCCAAAGTGCTGATTACATCTGTACTGAGAACCCCAAGCATAAGCAGACTATTGTTAGCATCAGAGTGCTCTCGCTGCTGTGCAACAACGCTTGCCAATCATTGACTTTCAATCATTTTGGAAAAGACAGAGGCAAGTGCTGACCAGCTTAAAGACTCATTTCTTTAAATCCCTGGGGAGGCGTAGACTGAGTCATTACTTAAGAAGAGTCCTGCCTTTCTAGAAAAAACACACACTCAAGATAGAAACAGGAAAACAAGTTTCTTGGACCAAGCAACTACAAAAAAAAACAGAAGACATGTTGGATTTATGCATTCATTGTGGGTTTACAGTCGTAGCCTGTAAGACTCAGATCACATCTCTGGCTTATTTTCTTACCTCTGTTCCTCTCAGGTCTCTTGGAATGTATATATCCTCTGTCATCTGCACCGTCAGCCCAAAGTCCACCAACACTGCCTTGTCTGACATCAGAACAATGTTGCTGGCTAAAGAAAAAGCAGAAAAAAGAATAGTTACGTCACCGTCTGTTGTGTACAGTGTTTTCAGTGTTTATGCTTTGCTGTGCAGGATGGCATTTGAGGTAATAGTCAGAGGCTCTTCAAACACACTGAACTGGCTTGCACTGTGTTTGCGTTGGTTTCAACTTGGGAAAAAAGACCACTGAGACCTCCCAAGAAGAAGTCAAGCACGGCACAGGCTTTTAGCGAAGGCATTTCAAAGATAATTTGAGGGCAAGCCTTTTGTGAAAAGTCTCATCGGGGCACTTTAAAACCCTCACCAAGGTATAATTACATATTTTGATCGCAGGCAGGAAATACTAACAACCACGATGACATGTCGAGGGGCCAGGACGGACATCGTCGTAAGTCACTTGTCTTTCTGGACCCTGCATTCAACCCTGAGGGAGCACGGGAAGTTGGCTGGAATTCCCAGACGCCAAACTGCCTTTAGGCCATGAGGCAGCTGTGGAGAATGCTTTGATCCCAGCAGCGCCGCTGTGATTCAACCAACGTGAAAGTACCTCACATCGAAACCTCAGTCCAGCCCCACCAACTGCCACCAGCATGTGTTCTTGTAATCCAAGTCATTAGCTACCAGACCTGGCCGCACTTACTGAAAACGTGTTCGTCATACCTACAGAAGAGGAGACTTGTGTAATACTCAAGTCTTAGTGTGTAAGATTGTAAGTGCAGGATCCCTGTGGTTGGTTTGTGGCTGTTTCAACTGATTCACCTCCTCCCTGCTCGCCAATGATTATTCATGAGAACTGCAGCTTCACTTTGACGTAAAGAGGGTGAAAACTGACATTGCATAATTTCCTGGATCATGCGTATTACCTTACTACAATGTCGCACACAGCCATCAACAACACTCAACAAGTGAAAAACATTTTTGTTTTCTATGTCTCACGTTTGATGTCGTGGTGGATTACGTTGTGTGAGTGCAGGTACTCTAGGCCCCGAAGGACCTGCTTGGTCACCCAGATGATCTCAAACTCCCTCATGGGCCCACAGCTGTCCAGCTTCTCCAGGACCGAACCACCCTCCCCGGCCTCCATGAACAGGTGGACGCTCTGGTCCCAGAGCACGGCGCCATAGAGCTCAGCGATGTTCTCATGCCGGAACCGGGCCTGGAACTCCACGTCCGCCACTTTGAAGTGCTCCAAGGGGACCTGTGAGGATAATGAGGGGATGTAAATAAATGCATCATCACAATTCGCAGGAAATCTATTGTCACTCAGATACCAAGCACATAAACTGGTGCCAGTAAGCCTCGTCTGTGTACAATACACTGTGTCAACATAGCATTCTGATGATAACACCGGGCCGGGGAGGAAACTCCTCCTTCCTCAATTGTCAATATTTCCCAGGTAGGAAAGAGTAAACACATTGCTCACCCCCTCATTCAAAGAGTGTAGTATCACATAGTTAAAAAAAAGAACAGAATGTGTTCCATCGATTTTGTTATGGATTTTACTTTGTCACAAACATCCAGAGGAGTCGTGGACATAAGTTCAATTTCCATTCTTGCGTTCATCTTGGCCCATTTTTTAAGTTTGTTAACAAAGAAAAAACCTGGTTCTTCTTTTTATTTGCGTTGTTCCTCTTTCCTTCCAAGGGATCACATACCAAATGTCATGCTGACATTAACATTCATCACACAAACACAGGAGTAGAGTCTCTGTGAACAAACAGTTCTTGGCAGGTGAAATATTTGGCAACGAGGGCATGAGTTTCGAGAAGTCAGCTCAGGCTGGATTCCAGCTGTTGCTCGGCAGGACTCACCAGTTTGCAAGCCATTCTTTTCCTGGTGGCGGTGTCCTGAGCCAAGTAGACTTTCCCAAATGAGCCCTTGGGCACAAGGCCAGAGCCGTGGTTTTTGTAGGTCAACTTCCACGGAAACAGGAGGACGTCCAAGTCGATCTGGTAGCGGCCTTTTTTCACAGCCATGTCCTTCTGCAAAAAAAGTCAGTTAGGAAACTGATCATATGAAAATATAAAGACAGTTAAAGACTAACGTTCATGCGCAAAAACATTCAGTTTTGTTCGCGAGACGCAGTCAAAAGACAAACAAACATCTTCTCACCTTGTTCATCAGGACGCCCATCTCCTCAGGCAGGTGCTGCAGGGCCGCCGCCTGCATGCTGGAGAGCAGGTTGACAAAGGAAAGCAGGTCTGCAACCGCCCCGTACCGAACACCACTAACCCCATCGACGTAGTCCTTCTGTGGACTCCCCGAGCCCACCGAGTCCCCCGCCTCCTCGTTCTCGTCCATCTCCTCCTGGGAGAGATCTTCCTCTTCAAAAGACAAGCCTCTTTCCTCCTCTTGCTCAAGCTGATACAGAGTCTCTGCAGCGTTGATGATGTCTTCTATATTCATGTGAGCCAACAGCAGTTCTACTCCATTGTCATATTTGTAATCCATCTTGGCGCTTGACTTGTGCTGCTTGCCCTAAAATGAAACATCAGGAGGTCAGTTTATGGACATTTTCCTTTTTTCAAAGTTCCGGCTGCACGAGATCCTGTCAGTAAACAGTCGGTGAATAACTTTAAAAAAAAGTTCATCTGGAGCGCAGGATACACAGTGACACTTCACTGAAGCACTGCAGCTTTGAGTCAGCTGGCTGGACATACAGCTGGGAGGGGCATAAAAGATTGTTTTTCAAGCAAATGAGGGGAGTTTCACAGTAAAGCTGGGAAGCCCCTAGGAAAGCTTGGACACTGTTTTACAGCTAAACACCAGCTGCTTTTAATAATAAAGAAACATTTGCAATAAAAAAGTTCATTAAAAGTCGTTGGTCTGTGACTAAACACAAATTAGTCTACTGCATACAAATCATACATCTGCGAAATACTTTTGGTCTTTAGAGACAGCCTACCAAAGCCTATGTTAAAATTTAACAAATAAGCCACTGAATTACCTTTCTATATCACAATTTAAAGGTGCAAATTCAGAATACATGCCTCCACAACAAAAATATGACAGTAATATTTCGGGATGTTGCAGATTAGAGGTAGCCAACACGGTGCCCGCGGGCACCCTGTCGCCCGCAGGGACCACGTGAGTCGCCCGCGAGGCATGTTCTAAAAATAGCACTAGTCACCATGGAGGTCCGTCTAAAATTGTAGTTGCTGTTCTTTTTTTAATCAAAACGCTTGCATTAGTGTAGATTTTAAAATGACAATATTTCTTGTCATAAGAGAGTTGGGTATCCGGAGGCGCACTGCGGACACCCAGGACGAGGCCGCCACACCGCACTAGGTTTTCAGGTTCCGAATTGCGGGCGCTTCCCGTTGGCGCCAGACGCGCGCCGCGAGCGCACCCAGTCGTCAGGTCCGTAAATCCTCGGAACAGGCCGCGGGGCAATCCGATCGAAAAGGCCCAGACTAGAGGTTTGAACGCGGGCGCCCGAAGACGCTCGCGCGCCTCGGAGGGTTGGATCCCCCACTCAGCTATAGACGAGACTTTTTACTAGTTTCTTCGTGGAGAAAAAGGTAGCATTGGAAAAGCTGGTGTCGGTGACAACACACGGGGCTTCCGCGATGACGGGCCGGCATGCAGGCTTCATTGCGCAATGCAAAGGTGACCCAGACTTCGCAAAATTTCTACATTACCACTGGATCATTCACCAGCAGGCACTATGTGCAAAAGTAACCGGCTTTAATCATGAGTTGATACAAAAATACCCGAGATGTGATACCTCTGACTTTCAAATGTTGAAACAGATTAACAGAAATAAAAGTTGCATGTTTAAATATGTATGTGTAGCTATACCATTATTGTTGTGTAAATCATTCTTAATAATTATTGTGAGGAATAATTAACTGACATGTGATCAAACAGTCTCTTCACATATATTATTATTATTAAGGTGATCTGTGCAACTTTGATATTCAGGAAGTTTGTATTAAATAAGTAGCCCTTCGTACTACTCGGTACCCTTGAAGTAGCTCTCAGTTTAAAAAAGGTTGGTGACCCCTGTTGTAGATGTTACAACCAATCTCTAAAAACATTTAGCTGCTATTTTTTTTATTTCAACAGATTATACAGTTTATATTCTTCACATCAGATGATATAGAAAGCAAAAAAAGCACGCCGTACTTGCCGTAATATTTGAGTCAATAGCCAATAGTCAAAACTGCCGTCTATGCATCGTGCGGCTCCAGCGTCCAACACTGACTGACGGAGGGAGGGCGGTCTGACTGTGTTTAGAGGAAAGTAAACAGAGGAAGTGCAGTCGATCGACGCGTAGGTGGCGAACACTTTAATGTCAAGTGCCAGCGCTTTACACCCTTTAGGTTTCGTTTTCCCTTTCTTTTGTTTTCTCAGATGAAAAACAAATTTCACGTGGCACGACTGCTGAAACCCAGGGGATCACCTTCCACAGAACCGTGGGGTGTTTTCCTGTGGGAAGATGTGATTTGTTATTTTTTGTCAAATCGAGTTTTAATAGAAGTCATAATGGAAATATTACATATTACATCGATTAAGTCATTAGCCATAGAATAAAGATGCTATATATGCAGTATCTACCAAGGACACAGTAACAGTGACGTTATAAGCATTCATCGATCCATACCAAGTATCTATGATCTATATACTTTATGTATTTCTCAAGATATATTATTATCGCCAAAATGTCTGATTTGGTACCTCTCAGTCGCCGTAGACAAAACCACGCGCATGCGCCTTTCTGCTTCTTTCGGAGCAGCAATGGCGTCCACCTTAGCGTTGTGCAGGTTACATATGAAAGGAAGGGGCAGCCTGTCGAAGTGCCTACAGAAGGTCGATACATTTCTTCACAGGACTATTGGAACAAATGATGTTGCTGTGAAAGGTAAAGCAGTAGTTAGTTTATCAAGCTGTCAAATAAACAAAGTTAGCCTACTTGTTAGCTCTGTCTCCCGTAGAGTGAGTGTCATTCCAAACTTCGTTTGGCTTTTTTTGTGTTTTAAGCAGCCTTGGCTATGATCCAAAATGCGTAACTTACTTTATAAAAAACGAGAACATAACAACTATTTAGAGTCTCGGGAAAATTCGGCGTTGTTTTGTCCATCAAAGAGGCTTAGTTAAGTAAAGTCTTGAATGTGTAAAGTGATGGCTGTCACTTCAGATACGATTTCATTTTAATAGCTGCTGTTTTGTGGGTGATAACTATGCCCAATTGAAAAGCTGTTTCTAAGAGTTCATAAGACGTGCAATGTGACGTGGAGAACTTGTATATGTAATTTTTGGCATACAGACATTTCCCTAACAGTGCCACATACTATAAAACAGTCCATTTCTGTATGGAGTTTGGCGTCGCGTTCTGGGTCCAATAAAGACACACAAATGGAACTTAATTTAGCAGAGAGTGCTGCAAAGTTTGTCTGAAAACCACAGTATGCTAACTACAAAGGGTTGAACAATGACAATAAACAAAGGTCTTCCTTAAAGAAGAACTGAAAGTTATGTATTAGCCTAATTGTTGAATATTGTGCTTCTTTATTGACAGAAGAAAGGGAAGGATGCAAATCTCTGTATGGTGTTCAGGCGGAGAGACAAGAACAGGCAGAGAGATCTGTTCTTATCAGCTGCCACTCCAGAACTAATGAGAATAATTTCCTCACGTATTTATCAAGACATGGAGACATCAATAAATACTTCTTTTATGAAAGCTATGTAAGTGAATGACCAAGGTTCTCCAGTAAATAAGCATTGTTTTCGAACATGTTTTAACATCTACACATGACACAAACTTCTCTGTCGTGCTATGATCCGATTGGATGGTGAAATTGTGTGTACTTGGTGTTATTTTCTAGGGCATGTATGCTGTGGTGGAATTTGCCAACCGGGAAAGTCTTGTATCATTATTAGAAGAGGCGGCCATAGCCAGCATCAGCCATGAGTCCATGGTGCCTTTTAAATCGAGACTGCTGTCGCTAAGGAACCTCGGCTCAGCGGACGCCCCAAACCAGCAATCAGGCAAACAGTGCCAGCCCCAAACCACCATCCCCATCAATGAGCTCATTCAGAGACTGTCCAGAGAGGAAAGTGTAAGTGTTTCACTCCCTGATTCACAGTTTACTCCTGGATTCAACTTTAGAAACAAACGTATGTGTGAATCGATTTTAATAGATGTCATAAAGGTAATGTGTGCCTCAAGGATTGTGTTAATGGTGGCCGGTCTTCTCATTTCCCCTCAGATAGAACAACAGATAACCTCCCTAACAGATGTCTATCAGCTAACGGAGGAGAACAGCCGGCTACGTTTCCTCGTCTGCTCTCTGCTCAAGGACATCGCTGCTGCTTATTTCCCAGAATGCACCATCAACCCATTTGGCTCATCAGTGAATGGCTTTGGAAAGCTGGGCTGTGACCTGGACATGTTTCTGGATGTGGATGGCATTAGTGGGAGAAATGCAAAGATGGTAATAATGGGAGTTTGGGGTTCGTCCTTTAGAATAAATAAGGTTAACTTGTAATGAACCAAAGCCATCACCTGACGGAGTGATTTCATTAATATTTCCTGACATAATATTTCAGTTTACAAATTACAAAGTTTTTTGCTACTTTACAAATTTAAGGCACCTCTTTCCACATGCAACAGCTGTGCCTTTCCAAAAAAAAGTGAAACGGCTACCAGCTGCTGTGGCCACAGTTAATTGCCGCAATCTGAGTTTTGTGAGTGCTGAGTTCTGTGGAGTGAAACTGAAACGGCTGTGAATGGCAAAGACCAAAAAACCAAACCGACCAACCAAAAAAATTCTACAGACATATGCTGCTGCTTCGCATCAAAGCTTGTCTTTGAAATTCTGTGAAGATTTTACTTTGAAAGTCGACAAACATTATCTCGGTAAAAGCTTTGCATGGATTCAGTTACTCATGCCTGGAATCGCATAGTTATACATTAGCAGAGCTATACGTTTGAAAAGTATCAAGTTTTTATTTTATGAAGAATGTGGTTTCGTATAAGAAATCAAACCATTCAGAATTGTTGTTCTGAGTATTTTCCCTCCTTGTTATTAAGCTCACATACAGTAAAAGAAGAGCGTTTATTAATTTAAAACTGTTTTAAGAAATATTTTGCAAGCATATCCATTAATATATAATTCTGTGGATATATTTCACATGCATTATAATGCAGTAGTTGTATGCAGCAATACGTCTTTATTATTATTTATTTTTTTGCGAACAACTATGACCCCTCTTATGGGCACCCATAAGTGGAGGCTGGTGTAAATGAAAATATATTAAAACCCTGTGGTAGTAACATAAGCTATGTCTTCATAGGGTAAGTTATAATTGTTGACAAACTAATCTCTTCATAAACCACGTTATTGGAAGCCATTTAATACATGTTTGTATGCCGTTTTTAAAGGCTAAATAAGGTTTGTAAACAGGTTTAAATAATGCTGCTTCCTTGCATAATGAAAACTCGTATTGTGAGCCGTGAATGGAGAAACACTTATTTCTGATGGGTGTTACACTGTCAGTGTGTGATTTTTAACAAAAAGTTGCGTTTGTGTTGTACTTTTTCATTCCATGATGGGATCTTTAGGCAGCACAATATAGTGCATGAATAGTGCAATGGATATGTGGAAACCTAAATAACATGTTAAATGTGGTGATGTAGGTACTAACTATCTCCAAACTCTCTGTGTGCAGCCAAAATCAGGTTTGTGGCTGGAGTACCAAATGAAGAGGGCCAGCTCGGAGCGGGCCGTCACCCAGAGCCTCCTGTCCGTCATCGGGGACTGCGTGGACCAGTTTGGTCCTGGTTGCGTCGGGGTGCAGAAGATTCTCAACGCACGATGCCCCCTGGTCCGTTTCGCCCACCAGCCCTCTGGTTTTCAGTGTGACCTCACAGCCAACAATAGGTATTCAGTCTGTGCACATATATTGTAGGACGATTGCCAGTTATTTTCCATACATAAAAACTGTGTGAAACTTATATATTTGTTTTGTCATGGCCCTGGTGTTGCAGTGGTTTAAAAAAAAAGAAGGGTCAGTTTCACAAAATCGAAGGGTCATGTCTCGAAATTGAGTTGGTCATGGGCCTCTTGCTTCACAGAAACTGATAGTTTTATGTCATCCTGAATATCGTTTTAGCCACACTGGCGTTTCAAAAGCCCCTAACTTGACTTTGGCAGGAAGTGCATCTCTGCCACAGTGAAACTGAACAGGAGGGCCAAAAGAGGGGGCTTGTTTGTGTTTCACCTCTTCCCTCCTAAACATGTAACACACTGTGGTCTCTGCCGATGGTAACACAAAAACACGCACACACCTGCTAACGTACAGAAAACCACTCTGCAGTTTCTAAGGAAATGGAGTTGAACCGCCGGCTGTGGGTGGATGTGAGGGGGACTTTTCTCAAACTGTGCTCTGAGATCTTTGAAGTGCAGCACTTTCCTCCCTGAGGGGGGTGTGTGTGTGTGCCTGTGTGTTTAAGAGAACTAACAGCATTGCGACTGAGGCAGTCACTGTGACAAGCTGAAGGCTGCTCTCTAGTGGTGGCTGTGTTAGGATTTTAGTTTCACTGACCCTTCACATTCAACATAGAACAGTATTCTGTTTTCGGAACTCAAGAGGCTGTGATGTATTGGGATCAAAAACAGATGTTGAAATTATGCTAAATATGTGCACAAATGCAGACACTTGAGGGCATGAAGTAAACTAAAAGGCTGAGACTGACATCAAGAGGTTTATACTGAGGCTTTCTGAGAAATATCTACTGTACAAAACAATACTCTGGTGCCTACACTCTTGGTAAAGAGCATTGAAAATAGGATCCTCTTACATGATAACATATTTAACACAAACAATTAACATAACAAGGATAGATGTGCTAAAACACGCAATAATCTGAAGGTAGCAGCATGTCCTATTTGGTAGGATTTCTATGCAGTTATTAATTGTAAGTCATTTTGGATAATTGAGCAAGCTAACAATGCAAACATGTTTCAATATTCACCCAGTGAAGTGTACTACTTGCTGTTGTATTGGAAGTCTCCACTCTCCTATATTGAGATGAAGAGCCACAACAAAGCCCAACATGCAGCTTGACAGGAGTATTGATTCTGTACGTTCTCCACAGGGTGGCGATGAAGAGCACCGAGCTGCTCTACCTGTACGGAGAGCTGGACCCGCGCGTGCGTCATCTGGTGTTCACCGTGCGCTGTTGGGCCCGAGCTCACGGCATCACCAGCAGCATTCCCGGGGCCTGGATCACTAACTTCTCCCTCACCGTCATGGTGCTGTTCTTCCTGCAGAGGAGGAGCCCTCCCATCATCCCCACGCTGGACCACCTCAGGGACCTTGCAGGTACCAACCAGCACCGCCTCTCACTCAGTAGATATTACGTCACTTTAATTCAACCTCGAGTTTCATTTGTAATTTTTGAGGATCAAGCTTTTTGTTTGGCTTTTTCTAGACACAAATGTAAAGAACATTAGAAAAATGTACCCAAAAGAGAAGAAACTGCTGTGTTCTGCAATGGACACAATACGCAATATTCACCTTATCAACTATAGAAGTCTATACATTAGAAAGCATGTCAAGAAAAAATTCTGTTCTATATTAAGTAATTCCAAAGAGTCATCAGTCACAATCAATAACTCAGTAAAATACTTTAGAGTTAATAAGGAAGACATGTGTAAAAGTGAACTAATTCAAAGTCACACAGCGGGGAGGAGATGAGTTTGATAAAAGGATTTCTTGGGGTTAAATACATTTTATATAAGAGTTTGAATTTATTAGGACTGCGTCATGATTATTTTCATTCATTGATTGATTAATCTGATAATAATTGTCAAAAAATGGCTGAGTACAATTTCCCAAAAGCTCTTTTGTCTATCCAAACAGCCTAAACCCTCTAAATATTGTTAACCTTGAGAACAGACAAAGAACAATCTTTAAACTTAAGAAGCTTGGTGAGAGAATGTTTGCCTTATGCTGCCAGCCATCAACAGATCATTGCCACTGTCTAATTTTGCTGAGAATAAATAGGCGACACACACCAGCTCTCTAGATCAGGGGTTCTTAACCTTTATGACCTAACCGCCTAAAATGACATACCCAAATTAAAATGGCTGTAGCTTCTGAACCACTCTGACTATATGCATCAAAATTGTCAGAAAACCTGTAGGTCATACAGAAACAGAGCAGTGGGCCTTTGGAGTCAGTAAAAATTGAAGATTTTTGTCCGCATAAAATAAAAAAGTATCTTTCAGTATAAATAACGGCCTGTGGCTGTATCTGTACAGGTAAATGACAGTATAGGGCTGTAACTACACTATCAGTGAACAACTGCCTCAAATTTGAAGATTGGACAAAGTATGACCATTCTACAGTGTTTCTTCCATGAAGAGATCCAGGCGGAGCTCTAAAAGGATATTTGGAGACCCAAATGGACACATGGTAACCAAATGATATTCTGACACACTAAAGGTGTTTCTCCCTTTTATATTTTGAGATTTAATTATTTTCCTTTTATTTTTAGCCTTTGCAAATTGCAAAACAGATGTATATATGGTCGAAGACGTGGTGTGTGAGTAGCGGACTTGCTGTACGTAATGGCTGCGACCGAGCGCACGATCGAGTATGCGGGTAGCTCAGTTATGCAAGGTTATACGTTGGTTGACGGCTTATAGAAGAGGAAGATAAGGTTTGTACTTTAAGTACTAGCGTTTTCTGAAGCCACTAGCTCCATGGTAACATCCGCTAGCACATTGTTGGGTCTGTAATGTGTCTTTTTCCGTCGAAATGCTGCAAGATCCGACTTGAGGCGGTTATGGCGACTTTGGACAGTGTGTGTTTGGGCTCCTTTTGTGAAAAATCCATAAGAAATGAAGGAAAATTGATGATTTCTTTGCAAAGATGAGGATTTGGGGCATGCTGGGATACCAAACACGGCCATGTTTTGTGACGTAGTTTGCGCAAGCAAGCCGTAAGGAACGGAAGGGGAGGGGATCGAGGACGCCGGTGTCCTCGCGGAGTTGAACAGGCAAAACCCTTGTCAAATAAATGAGATGATACAATGTGATGATCACAAAGACATTTATTTATCATGTGTATGTAAACCTGCATACACAACAAGAAGCCCAACAGGCTTTCCCACAAGCATTGGATGTTTCGTCGCTAGGTGTCACTTTATTTTTGAAGGCTTCAGTGCTTCGTTTGATAGCCTAGCCCACATTCCACACACTGAGCCCTCGGCTCTGCCTCATTGCCTCCGTTCACAAAGCCGTACTTAAGAAAGTCAGGATTGAACTTGTACATGTAGACTTTTGGGGGGGTATGGCACGACTATCGTCTTCATTTTTTCTTTTTAAAAACTTATCCATAACTTTCGCTACAGGCTAGCGGCTAGCTGAGTGTCTTCTTCTGCTTATTGGAGCTTGTTAAACAACTGACTGACGCATTACCGCCACCAGGTGGTGGGAAGCTATATTGTAACTGAGCGTCTCATGGACAACAGTAATATCTCTGGTGTCTTCAATTGATAACCTATGCGGTCCCGCGGCCCTCGCAGCCCACGGGTGCAAAACTGAAAGTTTTTTGTGGCCCTTTTTTTGTGGCCCTTTTTTTGTGGCCCGCGGCCCCATGGTTAAGAATCACTGCTCTAGATGGCTGTTTGTTTTCTTCCGGCGGCGTGACGAATCAGGGAAGCACACGTCGTGATGGCTAAGACCCAATCAAGTAGCGAACGCAGGTGTCTACGTCATCATTTTTCAAAGGTCTACGTTTCCGCCCGTCCACACGAAGAGGCAACCCTGGGATTTCCAAACTAACACGGCGTCGGTAGTGTTTCTAAACCCGTTAGTTTTTGGGGGCTTAAAACTCCGGAGTAATGTGGACGCTTGGCGTAAGCGTAGCAAAAGATATGCCTTTTAAAATGGAAACGTAGTGTGGATGTATCCTAATTCCACTGCAGTTCCTCCATTTCTCCCCCACTCTGTCACCTTGGCTGCCTGATAATTGCCTTCCAAAAGCAATCTACCGCCCCACCCCCCAACCTCCACCTGTCTCCCCCGCCTCTTTGGCCCCGTTCAGCGCAGACTCTATCACAGAAAGTGCTTACGGGACAATAACAGGCCCATCGCTCTGGGAAGGTCGATGACCCCGCCTCCTCCAGACATGCAGGCAGCTATTTAAACAGTGGCGTAGCACGCAGACACACACCACCACCACCACCACCACCAGCCTCATCACGACGAAGGAGACTGGTAACAAGGGCATTGCTTGAGAAGCAAACCAGCCAAGCAAGGACATGATTCCAGGGCCCTCTTTTTTTCCTTTTCTTTGACCACCTTCATGCACCTGCTCTCTCTCTTCTTGCCCTCGTGTATTTCTGTCTCCTCTCCGTGAACGCACCCACACCATCCATCTGTGTCTTGTTTATGGCCATCATAGGCGTGTAGCGGCAGTCATTTACCTTGTATTTCCGCTCCCATCCCACAAGGTCCCGGGGACAAGAGCGTGATTGAGGGGAACGACTGCACGTTCATCAGCGACTTCAGCAAGATCCAGCTCCTGAGCAACACGGAAAGCCTGGGTGAGCACGAGAGCGTAGAAACGAGGCCGTAGGGCTGCAGTTCAGTTTGACCGATACCGGCCTTTCTGTTAGCCGCTAACTTGACTTTTTTTGTTTTGTCCTAGAGAAACTGCTGTGTGAATTCTTTGAGTTCTACTCCACCTTTGCATTCAACAGGATGTCCATAAGTATCCGAAAGGTATGTGTGTTTATTCACATATTAAGTCCCATGTAACCCAAGAATGTGCCCTATCATGACAATTTACATTTTCTTTAGATTCTTTAGCTTATCCTATAGCCGCTTTTTCATAATGATAATTTAAAATCAATGTGGAATGGTGTCAATAGTGTCCTTTTCAGCAGGCAGCTTTTTTCAGTGGAGAAAAGTGTAAAACTACCAGCTCAGGACCAACCATCAAACGACATAGTTAGAAACTAGCTGATGAACGTAGCGCAGCATTAAGCAGCTAAAGGGATGGATATTTTTCTCAGCAGTTGGTAGAGACCAAAACGGAGCTAGGGACTCCAAATGAATGATACTATTCATCTGTAAATGCTGGATGTGTAAATAAGCAACCGTCTGCCAAATCAACTTAAAGGGTGATGATAAGTCAACATTGTGTTCAGTTAGTAGTTGATGCCCACATTTAAGCCCCCTTTAAGACATTTTTTATTTTATTTAATTCATTCAACCAGGCGTGTTATTAAGAACAAATTCTTATTTACAATGGTGGCCTGGCAAAAAGCGTCTTGAAGGAAAGCGATAGGGGCTTAAAGAAGTCAAATCAAAAGTTTAAAAGACAAAAGCACATCCAAACATTTTTAACTCGCCCATTACCGGCATGCTGTCACAACAAGTATTACACGAAGTGATCTAGACTCGCACAGTGCTTATTTTTACATTCAATGTTACATGTCTGTCTCATGTCTGAATGAATGCCCAAGATACTTTTGCATAACAGAAATCTAGAGAAATCTTAAACATCTTGCTAGGTCAGAACTTGTATCATTTCTGTAATACTCAGTACAAGTCTGAATTGGATGCTGTCAGATTAACACAAAGGCTACAGCAGCACATGATCAGATGGGTAAATATGCTTGGAGAGAAACTAAACGCACGTCATGTTCACTTTATTAAGTGAACTGTGGTAAACGTATCTCATAATCATTATCTCTTATGCAGAGGAGTAATGTTGTATCGAACTTATTGCTCATATGCTGCTACTCTGGACTTTTTGTTAGCAAAGGTCTTAACCATTGAGGAACCGATCGGCAGGGTATTGCCTGTTAAAGAATGAATGACTCTCTGCGCCAAATGTGCCAAAACCCCCATATTTTCATTCATGCACATTTCCTTTCGTACAACAGGTGCCAAATATCACGCAAGCACTGTGGCTCATTCCTCTGATGTCTGAGTGAGGCTGTAAGGAACATTAATGTAAAAGTCACCGATGTCTGAATGACAAGAAGGCGTCACTGTTAACAGTGTGCTTGCTCCATGTCTGAAAAGGGATTTCGTCTCTTTCTTGTGGACTTTGCAGCTGGGCACGAGCCGCCGCTGCTGTTGTGACTGAAACAGTTTCATGCCATTGTGAAATGATGTCAATGTTACTGTATTTGTCCATGGACCTTTCTTTAAGATAACAAATTCAAGGGATCCTGTTTGCGTATGTTATGTGTTCATACAAAAAAAGTTAACATTTGCCATAAACTGTATTTACTCTCAAACACCTTTTTAATGGTAACCGCCTCAAAAATTCAGTACCAGTCAGTCTCTACTCACAAACTGGTCCATAAAACCTTAATTTTACTTGAAAATCAAACTGTTGCATCACTGAGAAATCATAGTGTGAATAAAAATGTATTCAGAAAGAACTTCAGCACTCAAGGGAGCCCCCAGTTCAACCTCCTTTCAACATTTCCTCCCGGCCCCAGAACGGAGCTCCAGCAGAGAAATCTGTTGGTAATAAAGGCAGTGTTTGGTGGATGCCCCACACACGCACACACACGCACACAGATGACAGCTGTCCTTGTCATATGTGATTGATGGCAGCCCCACAGGGCCCGGCGCCCTTGAGCTGCGATCCCAATTAGGAGCTTCATCAGGCTGAGTGTAAACAAACGCATATTTATTCCATTTAGACCCAGTATGTTGTTGCCTGCGTAATACTTAACTGAAAGAGCGTCCACAGTGGAACTTTGGAGCTTTTATAAATGAAATGGAGAGGAAAGATCATGCCAAAACGGTTGGAATTTGTCATACTGTGTCTGAAAGGTAATACCAGGGCTATTTTTTCCTCTCTAGTCTGTACAGGATTGTTAATTAACATACCTTTTTCAAAATATGTGATATTAAATAATATCCTATTTATCACCGATTACTTTTGCCCCTAGACAATTAAGTTGATAAAGTAGGTGTTTGTCCTTTGGTGGCACATTACATGAGATGCAGGGGCTTTGCTTGTGCTTGGAGTTTAATGAATTGATGTCTCTGGGAAAGAGAGACCCTGCAGCTTAATATATGAGACTAATATCAAGTATGACACGGCAGAGGAAGCCTGCAGGTAGACTCTGGCCGTGACCCGTACCTATAGGCTTTCACCAGTGGTGCAACAGCCATAAATCTGCTTTACGTTGCTACAATTCTCCGGTTTGCTCCCCTCCTCTGACTGATGGCTTTATGTTGCTATCTTCTGTCCCTTCCACCTCCCCACCACAGCTCCATCCCTTTATCCTTCCAGCCCCTGTACTGTCAGGCTGGATACGGCATGCAACCTCCACAGAAGGTTCTTGACTTCTCTCTGACACACACATTGATGGTTGATCTGATTGCCATGACTGCTTGACAGCGGTACAGATCATATACGCTCCCGTTGCGAATGCATTCAGTGTGCATAGCAGGTTTCCATAGCAGTCTTGCTCATTCCTGGCATTTTTTAGTTCCCCTTTCTGAATTGTTCTGTTTTTCACAACTCAAGTCAAAATGTCTTCCAGAGCCATGTCCACGTGTTTGCCTCTCCCATCTGCTTGCCTGCTGAGAGGTTTTCCAGTCAGCTATAAGTTCCCCCAGATACAAAAAACCATGACCAACAAGATAGATGGACCGTAACATACAGTCCATACAGGACTGAGCTCATGGCTGCTGCTTACGAATGTGTTTTCATCGACTGTCCCATTCTCCTCTCTCCAGGGCAAAGAGCAGAACAAGCCAGAGGTAGCCCCGCTGCACATCCAGAACCCGTTCGAAACGTCCCTGAACATCAGCAAGAACGTCAATGCCACTCAGCTAGACCGCTTTGTGGCGTTGTGCCAGGAGAGCTCCTGGCTGCTCCAGCAGAGTGACACCAACACGGCCAGAGGTGGTAATGCGGAAAAGGCTCCCACACCTTGGGGACTCGCTACCCTGCTCATGCCCTCGCAAGTTGCGGGGATCAAAGGTCGCAAGAAAAGGAGACGGGAGCCGGCCAGTGAGAGGATCAAGAGCTTGCTGGAATCCTTGAAGAATACCAATCAGCATAAGAAAAGCTAAGACAGCAGCTCCATCCTCTTACTGGCACTTTAACTCATGCATTGGTGGACACCTCCTGGTGTTATGGTGGTGCCTCACTGAGGAGGCGAGGAGCAGCTTCTGCAGTTAAATTCATCTGCTGGACTGTAGTTCCAAACATGGACACTGGGGGGTGTTACTGAGGCCTGAGTGTGCATATGTTTGGGACCTGGAGTAAGGGAGTGATTGCTGTGTACTTTACTGTAGACTTGCCTACTCTGTTGTAATTAAAGCCACTCCTAAAGAGTCCTTCCAGTGGCTCTTTAAGAGCTAAGACTGCAGATTCACATGTTAATTGGATTCAAAATATGTTGTGCATGGATGTTATGATTTATACTGATCACTAACATTTGTTTACACCTCAAACTAAATCACTGTGGGTATATTTATTTTTATTAATTTTAAAATACAGATGGAATAATAAAGCTTTTATTGCAAACTGAAAACACTGGGTTTGTTTGTCATGGCCCTCCAGAACTGACAAAATGCAGTAAAAGGGCATCAGAAATATAACTGAACGCATCAATACTGTTAGTTAAAAGGAGTGGAGAAAGAGCAATTGAACTTCTTTTCCCTCTAGTTAGTTGAAAGAGAAAAGCTTTTATTGTTACTGGTGTGTAACATCATGGAGCAAGTAGAGGACTGCTCTGTAAGTTAGCTAACCTAAAAACACTGGTAGCTAAGCACACTGAGCACCAGCCCTTTCACCTATAGCTACTTAGCTGAAGCTAACTTGTGATTGGGTTATTAAAATAACCCGCACTGGTTGGTAAAGTTTTACAATTAAGTTGGCTTCAGCTAGATACATTAGCTAGTTGAAAAGGCTGGTTCTCAGAGGGTTAAGCTAACTCAGCTAGCCACATAGTCTGATGCTCTTTGTTTTTGCACTGCATTTAAACTATTTTGTATTGTTAATGTACTTACTATTTATTTTTGACTCTTCTGATGACACTTTACTGCCTTTTATCTGTTACAAAGAACACTCTAACATCCTCCTCTCAAGTGTTACATCTGGATTTCAATTTTTAGGAGCAAATGATCTAAAACGGTGACATAATGGTGCTAGCGTGGTTAAAATTTATATGGAAGCAGACAGCCCATTAACTTGGTCACCCATTTCACTGGAACCAAAGTCAGCCAGCTTTGTGGCAAAGTCTGTTGAATCGATTGACCTCTCTGACAACCCACTGATTGATATGTCGTGTTAAATATGTGAAAAGAGACTCTTGATTCAGTTTCCAGCTTAGAATCACATTGCTTGAAATGTGGCTGAACCAAAAGGCCAGTCACATACTTCATTTTTTGAAACTTTTTTTTCCCAAAGTTACATAAGCCGAGTGTATGTATGGGCCTGTGAAATTGTGGAAAGAGAGGAGACCTTAGGGGTGCATGTGTTAAGAGTGCATCTACAGGTTCACATCCTATGAGTGTGCCTGTGTGTGTTTGTATATGAGTGTTTCAGGCCCATGGGACAGTGTTTGAGGAGCAGGGAGTGTGCAGCCCACAGCTGTTTTTCCGCTCATTTCTGTGGTAGGTCGGGGGGGTGAGAGGATAGACTTTTAACTACCTCCCCTCCTACCGCCCGTCCACCTTTTGCCACGGGGGGCACCACACGGATGGGAGGAAAAGAGCGAGGCAGAAGAAAGCCCATCGCCGCTTCGCAACCCCCTGGTTTTGAACTTCACTCGCTGTCCCTGCCTCCTCTGTTCTATCTTACTCTTTTTCTTTTTTTCCTTCGTCAAATTCAACGTGCCTCTCTTTCTAGCTCAGTCATCTCTTTCCTCTCAGAGTGGCAGCACTCTTTGAGGTTTGCGGAGTTTGTTTATTTCCATGAGTGATTAAATTCTGAGTGACGGATCTGCTCTGGTGGAGCAGCAGAGTGGTTAAGAGAGGTGGCGGCTGGAGATGCATCGGGTGGGGAAATCAACACCTCAGGAGGGTTCGATGAAAAGGGATTGCTGGGTGTTTTAGGGTTCATTTGAAGGACCCAGATGTCACCGCCTTAGATCTTCTGATTTGTATTTGGTGGTTTAAAATGTGCTGTACTGTTTGTTTTTTTTAAATAATTTACAGACCCCTCTTTAATGGCACACTCCATTTATTGAACAGTTTATGGGGTAATTACAGGGATAGATAGAAACTGTGGCCACTTGCCAAAAGGTTGCCACAGTTCAATGTCAAGGTTAATCATATTTCTTTTCTAAGTCATTTTAACCATTGCAGGAGCAAGGTTTTATATGACCGACTTCCGGTGATGGAGCACATAAGTCTGCAAAGGGACCAAGGTTGTGTTTGGCTAACCTGCCCAGTAGTGACCTTCCTCAGAGGTGTTTGCAGGCGACACACCGTGGGCTCTGATTTATTAGGAAAACTCGCGAAAAGTCCAAGATGGATTGGCCCCCTCTCAGGAAGTCCAGAGGTTCAGCAGGGTGATGGCCAGAGTTTATGTTGCTGCCTTTTTTTTGGTTCCTAATGCGCCTTAACAGCCTGAAAGAATGTAAAGAGGTGGCCCGAGGGTTTGAAAAACATGGGAGGGATTTGAGGAAACATGGTGCGGGAGGAAAAGTAGGAAAAGCAAGAAATGAAAAAGATCTTGGCACCTATTCGAGGTTGAATGCCCCCTAAAAATGTAGCTGAGTGCTGCGAGCATTTGAGAAAAAACAGGGATTTGCTTCTGGAGAACATGTTTGATGTGAAGGCCTTATCAGTTGGAACACTTTCAGAACTAATTTTATCAAGCCATCCGATCACCACGCCACTCCATCCACTTACCTCCGCCGACTCCACAAAGACCTGTGAGCAGCGCGGAGAGCGTAATCTCCAAAGCACTTCCTCGGGCAGTTCCATGAATTGTCCCCACAACATTGTGAGAGGTCATTACGCTGGTTTCCGTGGTTGAGGGACAAGCGCCGTGGCGGCCCCTGGGGGACCCGATCTCCCGCTTTCTCCGAAGTTTCCCCACTTGTCACCAGCACGTTTGGCTGTGAAAGGGACACGGTGAAAGTGAGCGGGCCGAGGTGCACGAGGTCATCACTGTGTGCATCTCTGGCTGCGGAGCTACAACTGCGTAACTGCAGAGGTGTGTACTGGCTGAAGAATGTGCTTATTGAAAACTATATTCAAGTGGCTCCAGTCACTGGCAGCCTGTATCTCCATGTCCCCTCTACAATGAAAACATGAGGCAAACAATTGGCGACCAACTTGATGCCTGGGACTTACTGTATCCACCAACAGCACCATTGTCTCAGTGTAGGACGCATGGCTTGCTTCATTGGAGCCTGGCACAGAGTCACTGGCGGCCAAAGCCTCCGAGTGTCGGCGACCGCGGTGGTTTGAGCATTCTTCCTTTTACTAGATGGTAGAGAGGCTACAACCATTCAACACTGGCCAGATCAGGCCCCCGTTGAGACAGTGACCGCATGCTGTGATGGAAGACCAACTGTCACATGGGTACACCACACACATGGCCGTCGTACCACTGCGAACAGGACATGGGCGGGTGTCCGTGGAACACTGCTCCACCAAGCTCTCCTGGGTGCGTTTACACCGCGATTGGAGAATGCATGTGTGATGTCGCATTCTTACATGTGACTCCATGTCCCCAGAGCTCAGGCTGACGCGCTTACAGCATCACACTCGCTTTGTTGTTTTGTCAAAACTGCCGCGGTTCCATGAAGAGACTGAAAATGGTTTGATGTACGGTATTTCGATGTAGGAGTTGAGAGTTTCATTCCTCCTTCGATTAAACTTGATCAGGGTGATGCTTTTATTTACAGGACTGTAATTTCCTAAAAGAAATGTCCTGGAAATAACTAAGTAATTTGGTACTCACTACAGGAAAACAGGGATACTTTATGTTAAACTGTGTACTTTGCTGTAGACATATACCTGCTACAGACCAACTAAAAAAGGCCTGACATATACTCTAACAATTATTTAAAAGTTATGTATATGTTTCGGCACAGCGACATTTTTCAGGCTCTTCCTGATGTACTGAAATTTAGCCATTGAATGAATCTACCATCAGTGATGACAATGTGCAAGAGCTAATATTTGTTTAGTTGTACTTGTAGAATGAAAGTAAAGTGTTCACTTTGCACACTTCCAATTAATTAATTGCAAGTGTAACCTAAAGACTTTTTTTATGTATACAGGTATGCAAAGATTAGTTCCAAATTACACAATTCTTTCCTGGAAACCTCCTAGGATCTCCTGGGGTAATATTTGGTAAATTAGTGGCGACACGACGCTGTTGTATTTGAACTCCAAAGACCCTGTTCAGCTTTATCAGGGCCCTGTTATAATTACTATGTGAAAGCGGCTCTTCTTAATTATCACAGAACTTTGACTGAGATCATTTTTATCAACGCTGTCTTCATTTGCAAAATATTTTAGAAAGTCATGAAAACAAATTAATATTGAACCTTTAAAATGTACTGTTGATGCAACCCTTAGTCGGCTTAGCCCAGTGTGTAGGATATGGTCCCTGTCCAGAGACCCTAAAGGAGGGTATAGACGAGGCTATTCAAAGGACAGTAGTGCTGGAAAGGGTACAGTGTTGGGGCTGCAGAGATAATAATGTTGGCCCTGTGCTGGCGGGTTGATCACTAACATCCCCTCTCCCTCCTCATCCTCATAAGCCAGATTTCTCCTCCCTTTTTCTATAAAAGCTTAATCTACAGTCTGCACCGCAGCCAGTGAGGGCCTTATCAGCTGGGTGAGAGCCGCCTGCATGCCGGCTCCAGCCTTGGCTCCCTTTACTGGACAGACCTGGCTGAGTAGATGCACTCATACGGACATGCACAGCCGCAAGGCTAGTTCAAGTTCACACTCAAGACTACAGCAGTGTTTTAGATTCAGAAGTTATGAAGGCTACAGTATTAATATCCGCTTTTGACTGCTGAACAGTTTACAGCACTGGTTCCAAACATTTTTGGCTCGTTATTATTTATAGCCAAGAAATGCCGACCAGTTGCAAATGTATGTGAGCTATGAGCAGATCAATCACAGAGTGATGTTCTCTTCCCACCAGTGGAGCGTAGTAGTAAACAACTCCAGTTTTTGTGGGCACCAATAAATGTGGCGGATCATTTTTGGAAACATTAGATATCTGTATGACTCAGCACAGACTATACAATTGATTTGGTATGACACCTCATCTTAGTATCTTATGGCTCCAACAACTCTGTGGAGCAGCCCCTGATTTTATATTTTAGTCATCTAAATTGAATGACTCCTGCCAACTATATAAGTTCAAATTTTGGTGTAAGTTCACAGACACGGAACACTGATGCAGCAGAAGGAGGCGGCATACTCCTTCAGGCCAGACTCTTCAGTGTTTGGGATCCTTTGGCTTCCATCCATTCAGACGAAATGGCATTCATTCTAGGAAATCATAAAGATACAATTCAGAGGCTCTGTTTTTATATTCAGAAACTAGGGGCTCTTTTTTTCTATAATTTTTCCAATCCAAGCCGCAGTATTTTCATTCTTCCCCAGTGTAAAAGATTGTTTTCCTTCAGCGTTATTGCTCATGGAATATAGACTGCAGCCTCCACGCATTTCACTTCTATGGAACATTTTCCTCCCTCCACTCCTCCATGCACAATTCATTTCAGATGTCACTTGGTCGCTGGTGAATTCCTGAAATACTGGAGTGTTTTTTTTTTTGCTCGGCCTCACTGTATTCCAGTAAGTACAAATTGGAGATCTGTGTGTAAGAGAGCAACGGAAATTAAATGAGACAGACTGAAAACAAGCCTTGTCCTGTCGGTGGCCGACAGAGAGGGACTTATTCAAACTTATCATTAGGAGCTGGGAGAGGAAGGATCACCATCCTAATGCCACGATCAACTTGATTAAAGTGCACAAATGACTCGGCGACGGTGTGGTCGGATGTCCACGATGCTCTTTGAAGGCAGAGAGCAGTAACTATAGCTTAGTTTTCAGGGTGAATACTTAAACTGTAACAAATGGATGGGATATAATGCTTTCTTTGCATTTCACAAAATAATTGTCATAGTCCTGTGGAAAAACTTTAGAATATGAAGAGAAAACAGCATCCACAAACACGTTCCCTCAGCTTTCCTCCTGCCCTTTGATAATTACCTCAAAGTTAATATAATTAGTTATTTTTACAATGAAATGCATTTTAACATGCAATTGAAATAAATAAATAGACACGGACCAGATGCCAAGAAAAAATGTTGCCAGTGTATGTTTCTGCAAATTGTGGATATGTTGAATGTGTTTATCCAATTATTTATTTGAATGTGGATGTTTTTGCATTTGGACAGCAAGTTACATAGTAAATGGAGCCGCCTTTATTGAAAGTTTCATGATATAATAATAATAACAATAAGTAGCATATAAAGAGAGAAACAAACACAGGGCCTTCACCCAGGAGGCCGCTGTTCATGTCCCGTGTGAAAACCAAAAGTAATCGTTGAGTCTATGCTTGTTACGTAACATTATAGCGCTTGTCCGCTGTGGGGGTTTACGATAGTGACGTTACTGTTATTTCACTACTTTGTTGCGTTTTTACTTTAACACAAACCTTTATCCTTTTTCTAACCTTAACAAAGTAGTTTTGTTGTCTAAACCAAACCAATTGTTTCACAATGTTAACCACATGGCATTGTGCATTTCTGCAAGTGTGATACGACGCTGATGTGAAAAGTATTTACGTATTTTTGTTTCAGAAACGTCATTCAACATATTCTGTGGTTTGCAGAAACATACAATGCCAAGAATTTTTTTCTGCCGACTGGGTTGCTTGACAACACCAGGTCATCAGTCAAAAGATGAGATGGCAGCCAATCCTACTCTTAGTTACCTTTTTAGCAGGACTAGCTAGGCTATTTTTAGGCCCTTTGAGTGTATGCTGCCTTATATATGTAGGATACTGAACTACCAAGGAGTTAGTTCAACAAAATTTAGATGTTTCAATTACAGTCAGCAACTACGATGGAAAAGAAGGTATATCTCCCCTGTAGTGCATCCTGAGCTCAACCAGTGTTTTAATTGCACACATTCAACCTTAACTAGCTTAAACAGG